GCCCTACCCTTACACATGGGACTCTGTCTTTACGTTTGTTTAACTTTTATACCCAACTGTTTAACTTTAACGTTTATAACTACAGTTACTTTGTTTGTGCCAAAATTGTGCAAAGTGCCAAAATTGTTGAATTTTTTAATTCTACCACTTTAAAGACATGATTTTGAATTTTTGATGATCAGTCATGACAACAAACAAACCTTTGACATAGTAGGTCACTTTGGTTCCAAGAAATGCTCGTCTTAGAAGACTATATTGATACAGTAAAGCCAAAAAATTGTAAAAAATCCGCCAATTTGAGACATTCTGCCATTCTGAAATTTTCAGCAAATTTTGACATCCCCAATATCAATCTATTCCAACATGTTTCTTGGCAGGGAACCTGAAAAGAAAACCTTGGCAAGAGAAAGGTCTGATTTTTCCAATAAATGACCTGTCTAATGGTTGTTTTGTTTAAGGTTAGTGTGTAGGATTCTTACAAGATGTCAAAATGTGTATTCTTCGCAAAATATAATCCTTCACTCAGCATCAATAGAGAATTTATGAAAAACCAAAAACCAGAATGTCAATGTAGAGAACAGCCAAGTTGAAACTTAGATATTTTTAACAATACTACCTCTTAAACAGGACAGAATTATAAATTTTGCTCTTTAAAATCTACTTGTAAACCTATGTACTGAATGTTGAAGATAGAATGCCTTACTTGGAAAGTATTCGGTTTATATACACATCTGAAGACTTTACCTACCTCGTCTCTTAGTTGGAAGGCAAGGATGCAAAAATTCTACCTTCTTATATTAAAATTGTGACTCACCTTTAATTATATGCATTGATTTTATTCTAGAGGCTAAAATGATATCATTTCAGAAAGTCTTTCGCTGAGGGGCTGGTCCTTTTAACATGGGATAGAATATCATTCCCATCCAATGCATGCATGCTTCAAAAGGGCCTTAGCCCCCTAGCATGCCAGTAGCAGCATTATAGAATACTGCACAGCCCATGTAATTCACTATGAATTGGCATGATTAAAGAAAATGGCGATAAAAGACTATATAAGCATCTTTAACTTTCTCTTAAAGCTTTGATGTACAGTCCTACAATTACCACTTGGTCACTCTAACATTTACTACCATTTCATGAAGGTTATTGAAACGCATACCACCTCACTAGTGTTATCAGGGACCAATTAGCATACTACACCTTCATCTGCTTATATGATATTAGACATAAAGGTTAGCTAAAGAAAATCTTTCAAAAATTTGAAATCTTAAAGTAAACGAAAGAAAGTATTTTTGTGAAGGTTCAGATGAACAAATCAGTCTTTGAATACTAGACAACAATAAGCAAGATATTCCAGATTATTGTATCGTGTGCAAATTGTTCTACAAATTTGATAACTTTTTCTATGTGGTTGGCTTTTTCTAAGAGCATGTAAACAACAGATTAAGCTTTTGCCATCTACACTAGTGTATCAAAAGTATTTCACCACCTCGAAGGAGGAGAAATGGCGAATGAATGGCGAATGAAATTAATTTTGCTTTTAATTGGCGAATGGCAATTGGTCGAAAACAAAACATCTACCAATCAAAACTTCAATATATTTAAAGCATTTTTTTAAAGATAACTGTTGCAAACGTCTTTTAACAGTCTCAAATTTCAATATATTGACGGGTAGCAACAAACTTTTGAAATCGCAAAAAGTCACCTTGAGAAGGACCCAAATATTTGGGAAACGTATTCTTGTGGAATTTCGTATTAGGCCTGGAAACCTCTTAGAATTAATGATTCTCTGGTTTTTGGACCACCATTTGGATCATGGTTTGTAACCTTTTTCCTGTGAAGTCAAACTTTTTAAGTGATGTCAAAAATTGGACTTTACTCAGACTGTGTCAAAGCTTTAATTTCTTTTGTTTAGAAATAAATCTTTGTAAAAACGGTTTCCCTTTACTTCGGTATATTTTTCTTTTGTATTTGTTCAAAACACTCATTATATTTTTTGTAGACAGATTTTGAGCTGCAAAACCTTTCCCAATATCGAGTCTCATTTCCTTTACTTCCCCTAGGTGTGAACGCTGTGAAATAAAACCGACAAATTCATTCTCTCTAACATCAATTTATTTTTGGTCGCCCACTTCTTGGTTTCTTTACTAATGTAACACTCTCAAGGAACCTTTTTTAATTTCCTGCCGCTGTTGTGTGGCTGCATTTATTTTGGTCAACATTTTTTTGAAAAAATAAGACCACTTTCCCATAAATATTTTATAGCGACTTGCCTCTCATTTGAAAATTTTTCTTCCTTAGGCATGGTCTACATTTTAAAAACCAAAATATCTTCTTTTAATTTAAACATTTCTAACTAAGTTTTCTATGACGTCAGCAAAATTTGCAACTTTTTCCCGCCGAAATTTGCTTAATGATAAAATAAGCAGGGGAATCGTATGCCACTTGTTGCTTTAAATAGGGCAAGCACTTAGAGAGAGGAACACCAGATGACTATTTTACTGCTGTCAGCTTCTGGGCAAATGGCCGCTTTAAGGTAGGCAGTGATGGTCTGTGACAAATCAACTTGCATATATCTTAGTCAGGTGTTTCTTCTGGATAAGCATAATAACTTAATAAGTGGGCGTGGTATAACTATTTCCTATAACCTGTGACCTATTTGCTTAAGGTGAGGTTTTTACGCAAATGCTACTCGAAAACAACAAGAAGAAAATACTTGCATGACTAACAAAGAACCCGACGAAATCAATGAACTAATTGTAAAAATACATGTGCTATATGCAAAATGGCGGATTCCCAACAAATAGAGAGGTTGTTGTATATAATTTCTTTAATTTGTTTGATGAGTGGGTTGTTATCAGCATTTGGTCTCTTGACTGATTTAAGGGCTTCATCCTGAGTGATGTTGTTGACTTTAATGATAGCAGACATAGTTATTTTTTTCAGGGTATTGATTGTGATGGAAAAAGGATGTCATTTCTTTTGCTTTTTCTTGAAAATCATCGTTGCTGGAGTAGATGTGACAGAGACAACATAGCTGGGAGTATGGAATGGAATTTTCAGCATTTTTGAGAATGGGATGAAAAGTAGTCAAGAAAGCTGTGCGGATCTGTTTCCTTATAGAAGATAAAAGTAGTTGTAGAGTTGCTTTGGATGGTGAGCAGGATGTCAAGAAAGGGTAAATTGTATTTGGAGATGGTGTGTGTGAATTGAAGCGCTGGATGGAAATTGTTAGTTTAGTTGATGAAATTTTGTAGAGATGGAAGTGGTAATGATGTAGCTCCGACAATGTCATCAATGTATCTCCTGATTAGGTAAGAGAAAGGACCATGATATGAACTGTAGATCAAGTATTTCTGATAACCATAGCTAGGCATGCATAGCTAGGACCAAGTTAACTTCCCATAGAAACACCAGTTGTTTGAAGGTAAAAATCACCATTAAACAAAAATGCATTTGTAGTTAACATAAGCTTGGCTAGACAAAGAGAGCGTTGGTAGGTGGGCTTTGTTTAGGGCCTTGATCGAGAAAAAACTTCAGTGCTTCTAATCCATCAGCATAAGGAATGCATGTTTAAAGGGATTTAACGTCCATTGTAAATAAATATTAACCCTTTATTTCTTAACGTTGCTGTGGAACAACAAAATCAACTGCTCCAATTGGTTCCTTAAACAATAGCTTTTGTCTTCGAAATTGTGTCCATTGTTTTTTTTTTATATTCACATAAAAATTTACAACGACAGCAATTACAATACAAAAGCCTAGGAAGCATGGAAATGCATAACAACCCTAAGACTTACACTTAACATAGAGATACAAATTTTACAATAATAAGCTACAAAAGTGATTGGAGTGGCGTCGCCCATCGTTCCAATAGCGTTGCAGATATGACAAATACTCACAAAAGCTATTTTTAAAAAAAGATATCAAGTCTACCTATGTTTCTTGTTAATCAAACAGATTTGTGCCCAGACATGATGAGTGACACCACTCCAATCGTAAAAGGAATGAAATTTAGACAGAAGAGAAAATAATTTACATGAGAGAGATTTTCACGAGAAAGTTGATAACTTATTGGAACCGTTCTGAGGCCTGAATGTATTTTAATGTTGCATCAAGAATGTTTGTATTTGAATCAAAAGGTAACTTTTCATGGCCATAAAGGAGTATTTGCAATAGTTCTTTGTTTGGAGGGTTAGATAGGCCATGAGGACGCAATGTTGTATTAAAGCTGTCGAGAAGATCACGTCTGTGTATGTCATAGGCACTGCAGAGCAGCAAAAAGTGCTCCGTATCCTCAATACCATCATTTATCAGGCACAGGGGATTAAAAGTATCCCTAAAATTATGTTTAAATTTGTGGTAATTTAGCTTACTTAGTCCAACGCGTAGCTGCGTTAAAACAGATAAAAGTTTTGGATCCGTAGACTGATTTAGAGGGTGGACGAATGAGTCCTAGAAGTTGTTTCTTGAAAACATTCACTGAGTGGGATTCACGAATTTCAGGGTCAAGTTGTCCATAGTTATTCAAACAGAATGCTTATACAACAGCCTCTTTCTCATTCTGAAATTACAACGTGGTCAAAAGCAATTGATTTTCAAAGATAACGGATTGACGTTTTTCGCAGAGCGCATAACATTATATTTCAAGTTGTAAAATTTTGAAGGTAAGTGTATATTTTCAAGTAAATAAAATTCCTGTGTATTCCACAGATACTGCCTGCTGTATGGCTGACTAATTCACAAGCGTGCATTTCATAAATGTTGTTGTGCAACAACATTAAGAAGACATGGACAAAGAAAATCATTTAGGCCCACGTTTCAAAATTGATTTACAAAGATTCTAGAGGGGTTTTGAGCCTATTATTTGGTGTTTCTAAGTAATTTATCTCCAATTTTGGATTGTTAGGGGTTTTACAGTGATATTTGTGCTGTTTTTCATATTTTGAATTGCTTACTTGTAACTGAGCTGATGGTTTGTTGTACTCATTCTCTGCCGAATGCCGTTTGAAGCCAGAGGTTTTTATAAAAATAGTCTAACAAGACGAGGTGTGGAGAAGCAGCTTGAAAAGCAACACATCTTTACACCTGACCCTGAACAAAATGAAGATGATGATTTGGATAATGACAATGAGGATGACATTCAACAGGATCCTCAATTTCAAATTGATGAGGAATGTCTTGATCCTGCTAGTGATTCTAGTGCCTCTAAAGATGAACATGTACAAGCTGCAAGAAAAACAGTGAAAGCAAAAGACAATGGCAAAGCTAACGTCAGATGGAGGCATATGAAGCCAGTTACTGTGGATTCATCAATTAGCGGTGCTGCCTTTCCAACTCCACCAGATGAGATTCCATCTCCTGTAGAGTATTTCTATTCATTGTTTGAAAGAAAGTTGATGAGCCATGTAGCTGAACAGACAAATTTATATTCTGTTCAATGTATAGGAAGATCGATCCAGACAGACGAAAAAGAAATTGAGCAGTTTTTAGGAATTCTGATCATGATGGGAGTAATAAACTACCCTCAATATAGAATGTATTGGTCACCAGAAACACGAATTCCTCTCATTGCTGATACAATCAGACTGACCAGATTTGAGAATTTGAAAAGATTCCTGCATTTTAATGATAATAGCCAAATAACTGGAAATAGAGATGACATATATATAGCTAATACAAAGTACGACTCAATTCTTAGCAAATGCAGAAACATACCCCCAGAAGAATCACATTCTATTGATGAACAAATGATTCCTACAAAATGCATGTCAGCTCTTCGATAATATTTACCAAAAAAACCTCACAAGTGGGGCTTCAAAGTCTGGGCCAGGTGTGGGGTAAGTGGAATTATATATGACCTTGAGGTTTCCACAGGGAAGATAACCAAGAATTTGGTAAAGTTGGCTCCGTTATGAAACGACTGGTGGATCACCTACCAAGAAATGTTGGCCAGAAAGTCTATTTTGACAATCTGTTTAGCAGTGTTGAGCTGGTAAATAACTTAAAGAAAGAGGGAATCTGGGCTGTTGGAACAATACGTGCAAATAGGCTACTTGGTGCACAAGCTAATCTAAAGAGCAAAAGAGAGCTGGAAAAACAAAGTCGCGGAGCATACGATTCTTGTGTGGATGCCAACTCAAACACAGTCCTTGTTCGTTGGTTGGACAATGGTGTGGTGACCCTGATCTCATCATTCATAGGAAATGAGCTTGGAGATCCTGTGAAGCGATGGAGTAGAGCAAGAAAAGAAAAAATTGATGTCCCTTGCCCAAAAATTGTTGCTCAGTATAAGAAACATATGGGAGGAGTTTACCTTTGTGATATGCTGTTAGCATTATACAGGATCAGGCTTGGAACCCGCAAGTGGTACATGCACATTGTGTATTATCTTATTGGTATATGCATTGTGAATGCTTGGCTGCTCGATCGCAGACATTGTGATCAAAAAAGAGAAAAAAGGAAGGTTCTGTTGACACTGCTGCAATTTCATTTAAAAATTGCCCACTCTTTAGTCCTTGCTGGAAAAGCAGAAGGTTTGAACACTCAGAGCAAAAGGGGACGGCCATCAGCAGCAAATTCTAGCCAAGAAAGAAAGCTAGGGCATACACAGCAGCAACACCTACCCCTCAAAGTGATGTAAGGCATGATTTGACAGGTCACTTTCCAATGTTTGGTGAGAAGCAAAAAAGGACATTGTCCGAAGGGGTACTCTTGTATACATTGCTCCAAATGCAACGTTTACCTCTGTTTGGTGAAAGAGCGAAACTGTTTTTTTGATTGTCATGTTAGAAAATAAAAAATAAAAAATGTAGTTTGTGAAATTTTCATGACACTGGTTTTGTTGTTGTTGTTTTTGATGATATTAATTTATCTTTCATTCAAGGACAGAAGCGTATTTTTTTACCGCCCTTTCTTAATGTTGTTCCACAACAACAATTTATTCCCAGGGGCGGATCTAGGGGAGTGCTACAGGTGCTCTAGCACCCCTCAAATGTTTCGATTTAAAATTCAATCAAGATTGAATTGAAATTTTGTTTTTACCTCGTTTCTTTGATGTCAACTTTTATTCCTTGGTTTATTGTTTGCTGATGAAATTAAAATATTTTGCTGCAAACAAAACAAATTTTGTTGGTTGGACCAGTTCATGTGTCTTTTCTTCATGTTTGGAAATTTACATTTGATGTATACCAATGGTCACTTATTGAATTGGAAACTTAGTTAAATATGTGATTTTCTGACAAAGTCATTTTTGCTGCCCAATCTCATCCGCAGGTCAACACCAAATGGAAACTGCTTGTATAACTCTTGCTCGTTATCCATAATTGGAGATGAATGTTTGTCACTGCACCTTAGATGCCTCAGCACCATTGAACTTCTTCTGCATTCAGGCTATTACGCTAGTCACCCTCAGACCTCTGGCTTAATAAGAGATGGAAAACCTCTTGATGAAAACACACTTTTTACCCTCATGTTGTCCCAAACTGCATTTAAAGTCTTTGAAAAGAACAACAAAAAACTATGTGTACAGGCTGAAGCCATTCATAATGCAAAGTCGTTTACATTTTCATCAATGTTGTGCATGCTTGCATTATCTAGTGTCCTGGGTATGACAATTGAAAGTTACTACCCTGTTGGAAATGGCAGTGATATTGGTGATAATAACATGTATGAATATTTTTTCAATTGCACAATTTCTCCACGCACATCAGCTCTCGCATCGAATCACAAAATTCACATTCTTCGCTGCTCTACTACACCAGCTAATTTTTTGGGTAAAGGCAAACATTCTCTACCTTATAATCATTATGTCCCACTTCTCCCCAAGAATTTGCATAATGTTGATTTTTCCATGCCAGATTGCTTCTCTGAAATAAGCAAAGAGGCTTCTGTGCTTCCAATACCACCTCTCAGCCTACCAAACAGCAAAGTTCAAGATGCCCCAGGTCCTCCATTTAAAAGGAGAAAACAGTCAACCCTGGAGAACTTCAAAGTAAAAGGTCTATCAGCTGATTTCCCTTCAGAATTAGTTAGACCTCAGCAAGAGTATTCGTCCTCAGACACTTTTGTTTCTCAAACTTCTCTTGACACGCCCCCAGAGAAGGATCAAATAACATTGAACTCTTTTACTGTTCCTTTTCAAGTTGATGTTGGTGAATGCTTCAAATATTGTAAAAGTTTGAATAATGAGCAGAAATATGATGTCCTTCAAAATCACTGGAAACCTGAGCCTGGCTATCTATTTCCTGTCAATTCTACACGTCGTAAGTTTCAACACAAATAACTTGCAGAGTTTCCGTGGCTTGCTTACTCCAAACATGTTGATGGTGCCTTTTGCATCAACTGCTTAGTTTTTGGCATTACTGAGAAAAGTCAGCATGGGGAAAACAAGCTTGACCACTTATTTACATCACCACTCACTGCGTGGTCAAAAGCTTTGCAAAAGTTCCGTGACCATGCTGCAAAATCAAATGTTCACCGTTCTGCCACACTCAGAGCAACTCAATTTCGTCTCGTTATGGAGCAAAAATGCAAGCCCATTGATCAACAACTCAATGCTTTAGTTGATGAACAAATAAGAAAGAATCGGGCCAAGCTATTTCCGATTGTGGAAGGTATTATGCTTTTTGGACGTCAAAATATTTCGTTTCGGGGTCACAGGGACGATTCTGCTCATTACGATGACAATTCACATAATCCTGGTAATTTGCAAGAATTGTTGAAAGTTCTTGTCCGCTGTGGTAACAATGAAGCATTTAACGAGCAAATGACGAATGCCCCCAAAAACATGACATACAGATCTAAAACTACTCAAAACGAGCTAATCAACATCTGTGGCGAGTTTATCATTTCTAAGCTAAGCTTTTGGCTTTGCTACGGTGGCTATGGGATCCCCACCCTCTCTCTAGGTAGGCCAAAAAGTAATTTAAAACGTGAATAATACGGATTTGTATTTATAATTATTAAATAAAAGATCACAACTCACCGCTCATTAAGTACTATCTTATTTTTCCTCTGCAAATAAGTGTCTCATATCTTCATAAATGTAAACTTTGTCTCTGTTCTGACTTCTGATTTTGAAAATCTGCAAGCTTCTTGTTGAATTATTAATCGGAAATCGCAATCAAACATGCTGTGTCTGAATGGCAACATGACACACCACATAGAAGTAGACACAGGAATACAAAAACCGGAACATGGAATGGCATAAGGGGCACAAAAATAAGAAACTCACTTGACAATACCACAACAAATCGGAAAACTAACATGTTTTGGATTTGATAAGAAAGTAGAATAAATTAAGATATTTTGTGAAACTTGATTTTTGATATCTGTTGCCCTGCGAGAACTACTAATTCCTTCTGCTTTGCCCTCATAATGCTGTTTTTCAGGATTGGGGGGGGGGATGAAACACCCCCCAACAGCTATGTCCCTGCATATTAACACCCATCAACCAACAACTGTTTTCCTTTGTCAAATATACATGGCATGCCAAATATACTTCTTAAAAATGGTAACTTTATTGAAGAAATTCAATAATATGATTTTTGTCTCAAATTTTGTGAAATATAAACATTTTATTTTGCAAAAATTATTTTTTTTGAAAAAGGAAAGGGGGGGATACAGGGGCGGATCCAGCTCAAATTTTGAGGGGTGCTTAAGTTTTTTGCAGTTGAGGCAAGACGCCACTCCCTTTTCAGTTGCCAGGTAACACCCTTTTCAGTTGCCAGGTAACGCCCTATGGCCTTACTTAAGAAATTTTACTCGATCGGTTGAAGTCTCAATAACTACCAAGAAAACTACATAGAAATCCATTTACATTCTGATATCATAAAAACCAATTTATCAAACACAAAATATCTTCATCAAATTATTAACGATTTAATGAGCAACTATCGCATACAACTTTGACGGGTCAAACTCAGGATTTCTGAAACAATGGAAACCTAAATGTTTAATGAGCAACGAACGAACGCCACTTTGATGGGTCAAATTCAGGGTATCTCAAACAACGACAACTAAAATGTTTAAATGAGCAACAAGCGCAGACGACTTTGATGGGTAATAATCAGGGTATCTCAATCAACAACAACTAAAATGTTTATTTGAGCAACAAACGCAGACCACCACGATGAATGGAAGTCATAATAGCTCGATGAAAAACAACACAGACCATATGGCTGGTCAGCAACGATTCAGATTTTGAATGCCCCAAAAGCACAAAAATTGAACTAGAAACTAATGTAGACCAGTTAGGTGAGTTAAAGCCAAAGTAAAGAAAACAGCAACTGATGTTGAAAGCAGAAACAGCCTTAGATAGGTCAGAGCCAGTAGCTTGCATTATGTACTTTGCTGGTACTTATTCACAGTCAGGATCTGTGTTTAATATGTCAATCAACTTCATCCGTCTAGGATGCCTTCTTGCAAAACAATCAATTATCTCATCAGTATTGATCCTGACTCCTCTATCTCTATGAACGCATAGCAGAGCTAGCCCAGTTAATCCTTGTTGCAACATAGTGTTTCGAAGGTATGTCTTTAGCCTGCGAAGAACAGAAATAGACCTCGCGCAAGTGCATGTTGTTACTGGCAATGTCGCTAGGATCTGGAAACAAGCATATATATTTGGGAATGTTAATTTGTCAATTTTCGGAAGAAGTGCAGATAATGTTGATGGGATGTTTTTTGAGGATTGCCAATGGTCTTTCCACATGATCAGTTCGGTCTTGATATATCTTGGCTCAGGAAGATCACTGATATAAAGATCGAGAAAAGAGTCGAATCT